GCGCAGATTTCGTGGCAGGTGTAGCACTTTGTGAACCTCCATGCGCAGATTTCTTCGCAGGCACAGCACTTTGTGAGCGTCGAGGTGCAGATTTCGTGGCAGGCGCAGCACTTTGTGAACCTCCATGGGCAGATTTCGTGGCAGGCACAGCATCTGGGGAGCTGGAAGCTGAGAACTGGCGACTTTGTAGTAGTACAACTTTAGTACGCGGAGCAATCTGTGAGCTGGAAGCTGAGAACTGGCGACATTGTAGTGCAACTGTCGTACGCGGAGTATCTGGACCATGAGAACTGGCGACTTTGTAGTACAACTTTAGTACGCGGATGAGTCATCTCTCATCTCTCGCTGCTGAGTCCTGTCTCACTGCTGAGTCATCTCTCACTGCTGAGTCATCTCTCGCTGCTGAGCCATCTCTCGCTGCTGAGTCATCTCTTGCGGCTGGGTCGTCTCTCACTGCTGACGTATCTCTCGCTGGTGAGTCATCTCTTGCTCCTGAGTCATCTCTCGCTGCTGAGTCATCTCTCACTGCTGAGTCATCTCTCGCTGGTGAGTCATCTCTCGCTGCTGAGTATCTGGGGAGCTGGAAAATGAGAACTGGCGACTTTGTAGTACAACTGTAAAGTACGCGGAGTATTTGGCAAGCTGGACAATGAAGACATGATTTTGACTTTGAAAACACCACCCACTTCGCGTGCCCGCACCAGCTGCACTTAACTTTCGCTTGCAGATGCCCAGTTGCTTCAGCACGCCGGTGTGGGCTGGTGATCTTGCTTTGGCGTAGACACAACCCAGTGCGCTGTTGTGAGCTGCTGATCCTGCAGGGAGCACAGACCTTGCACAGGTGGCGCTGTGTGTGTGTGTGTGTCAAAAGTCCGGAGCGCATGCGTTTGGCTCAGTGAGGACACGCATGGTGGAGAGAACGTGGACACTCCTATAGGTCAATTTCTTCTTATAGGAAACTTCCGCCGCCGGCTCGCCCGGGAACTACTTGTAACATTCAAATATGAGTACGAGTGCCATTCCAAGTGTTGTTTCAGCAATTGCAAAGAGCCAGCAAAGCTTCCGTTGACTTCATGTATTTGTGGGCCAACATGCTGTCACTTGCATTGAAGAAAACGGCGCAACAGGCGCCTGGACAGCCTTTCTGCTCATGAGCACAGCACCAGCTCTTCTTCGCAGAGGACCAGCCGGAATTCCTGGAGTACACATGACATGTCTTGGAGCCTTCCTAGGACAGGTATTCAGGCTGGACAAAGCAAAAACCACAATAGTTTGCTTTATGACTTTATGACTTTATGCGAACCAAATCTCCAATTGCTGTAGCCAGCCGCGCAGTCGTAAATATGCTGAACCCGAAGATGTTTGGTCTTGTAGATCACCTGACATGGGAAAGCAGCTACTTGATCTCAAAAAAACAAAGGAAAACCGCTGCATTCAGCGAGCTGCACCTTATTTCGCACGACCGTCTGCGGAGGCAACGGCGTTGGCACCTTGATGACCTCCCGACGTGCGGTCCGCCACCGGGGGCGTTCCGTCTGGGTCTCCCGGTTTGGTCAAAATGACAACGGAGTGACTCGTGACAAGGCTGTTGGTCCAGAAGTCGGTTTCTTCACTGCGCATCCCATGCTGTCTATTTAACTTATGTCACATTGTCTGAGTTTGCTTAACTCTAGTGTTCATTTAAAAACGACTCCGTAGTGCTACTTCTGCTCCTTCCAATAAGCAAACCCTACAAAAACTCCAGCTCTTTGCCTTCCCGGGCTCTTTCACGGGCATCGGCGCAGGGACATTGCGATATTGTGGTGGAGATGGCTCTGGCGCTGGCACATAGTGCTTCTGGTGGACATATCTGGGTACCTGGCGCAGCCAGAGAGCTGGGAGATGAAACGCAGCCAGAAACGGTGAAAATCTCCAG